CCGTCGCCGCTCCGGGGCCGCACCTTCTCCTTCTTCAGCTTGTAGGGCATGGTGAGCGCTGCGCCCCAGCCGCTCCGCGCCCGCCGCCGCCGCCGCCGCCTGTGCCCGGGCCCGGCCGCTGCGCCCCGCTCCCATTGGGCCAGCCGCGCCGGCCTGCCTAGCAACAGCCTCCGCCGCCGCCGCGAGCCGCTGACGCAGAGCGGCCGAATTTTCTCATTGGCCACAAGGCGTGTGGGCGCCGGGCACGCCCCCGGAGGCGGGGCGGGGCGGGGCCGGGCGCGAGCGGCTCTTCCGGGGCAGCGGCGGGCTGGGCTGGGCTGGGCTGAGCTGAGCTGAGCTGAGCTGAGCTGAGCTGAGCTGAGCTGAGCTGAGCTGGGCTGGGCTCGGCTCGGCTCGGCTCCCCTAGCGGTCTACCCGTGGGAGCGACTTCAGGGGCGTGCGAGCAGTAGCAGATCCCCACGGGACACTGTAGGCGCCCGGGGTGACGCCGAGCTGCCGCCCGGGGCTCCCAGATCCTCGCTGCATGCAGGTGGTCCCCGCAGAGCACGGGGAAGAGGAAGCCCAATAGCCTGAGCTGGCTCCAGGGGCTGCATCCCCCTTTGCGGGGTGGGTGCTTGTTGATAGTCTGAGGTGCAGCTTTGGGGAGGCTACTGGGGGATATAATGGGGTCAATGAAGCGGGTGGATGCATGGGTGGATCCAAGGATGGGTGGAAATGTGTGTGTGTAAGCACTGCGAGGCACAGCACAGCCAGAGCTTTGCCCCTGCTGATAATGGAAAAGGCTGTTCCTGCATCATGGGTCCCAGGACACTTCCCTGCTCACATGGGGCACCTTGAACAGCTCATTGGCAGGTGGTCCTGCATCCTTACAGTAGGAGGATGGCCTCCAGCAGCCTGCACACATTTCCCTCAAGGTGATGTTCAAGGTGGGGAAAAGCAGCCAGCTGGTAGCAAGCTGTCCTTGAGTTCATGGATCTGAACTGAGCAGGACCTGCTGGCAAAGGGCCACCTCATTAGGGCTAATGATGTCTAGAGTTTCTAAGGTCAGTCCTTATTGTCCTTAAGGTAGTGGCTGCTGCTGTTGCAAGAGGTGCAAGAGCTCCCATTCACTTTAGCCAAGCCAGTGGTAAGGATCTCATGGAATGTGGCACATAGTGGGGAGAGAAGCAGGGGACTGGGTGATGTCAGTGGTGCTTCAGCAGGAGCACAGTCTTTTCAGTCATCAGGTGAACAAACTTGACGTGGCAGGTGGGGAAAAAAATTCCCTAAGACTGTTGTGAAAGTATCAGTCCATCATTTTATTATTAGCATGCTTATCATCTTCATTGACTGGACAGCCATTGGCACTCAACAGGTTCCCCAGGAGCAGAGCAAGGTTCTTGTTGTTGTTCCCCTCCTGTGTCATGCTCAAATGGCCCTGGCCAGAGCACCAGCACATCTATCTGGGTGCTTGCGAGCAGGAAAGTGTGCCAGTGTGAGCAGGTAAAAGCCACTTGCTTGAAGAGTTCGTGGCTATCACCATTCCCTCTCATCAGCTGTCACATGGAATTCTGGATTGGCTTTCCTTGGTCCTGAAGGAGCTCAGCTTCACCAAACTGGTATTTGGCCCCTGACTTTGTCCCAGTGGCAAGTGGCTGGTGTTTGGGCCTAATTTCCTGACCCTGCCAGCATTCTGCTGCCTCAGCTGCCCAGAAGCTGCCTTTTCCAGCAGGACCCCTGCACAAGCACATGAGCAGTGAGGCCTGCCCTCTGCCAGTCTCAGTTTCCATCCTTCTCTTGATCGTGAAGGATGTGGTTGCCAGACCAGGGAGCATTGCAAAGAGCAAAACTGTAGTTTTCCAAGCTTACCCAAGAGCTCTTGGAAGGGATTTTATCAGAAAGCCCTTTGCCGGCTCAGCCCAGGACACCTGCAGGGTCCAGCCCCTGCAGCAAAACTGCAATAAGTAAGCTCTGCATCCCCCCTGCCAGCTGGGGCTGCTGGCACCACTCCCCCCACACCCAGACTGGGAATTCCCTCCTAGTTGCCATCTCCATGGCAGCAGGTCAGCGACAAGGCAAGGGACTGTGATGGTTCCAGGGTGTGGGATCCTCAGCCCAGAGTGGGCAGTGTGAGGGCTTGTGCACTGGGGGCTTGCATCTGCTTCTGTGAGAGTGCTCAGCTGCTGTCCTCTCTTGCTGCCTGGGTAATGCTCAACTGGGGACTTTGGCTCTGCTGCTGCTCCAAGGGCTCTTCTAGGCCATCCCAGATACTTCAGGGGGCAAAACCCTGAGCAGGAATAGAGGGAGCAGCCAGAGGAGGGCAAGGGTTGCTCGAGGGTGGGAGGAGACAGAGGTCTGAGGGTGCCTGATTCCAGCTGGAGTCCCCCCAGCCTTGTTTGACCATCCCCCAAGCTGTACCATCCACAGGCATGATGGAGGCACCCCTCCTTCCCCATAGACTGTGCTGGGGAAAATGGGCCTCCCACTGGGGCTGCCGCTAGCTCATGGTGTCTACTGGGAGGTATTTCAGGCTGCAGCATCCACTGTGGCATAAGGTGGCCACCAAGGTTGCCTCCAAAAAGAAGGCACTGGAGAAGACCTCAGGAAGTTCCTGCCCCATCGGGTGCAGGCAGGGTGAACAAGTGGCATTGGCAGGGGACAGTGGGAAGGGCCCCTGAGCATCATGAAGTGCTTCAGGGGAAGGGAGGCATTGAAGGGTCCCTGGGGCTTCAGAGGCTAAGGAGGGAAGTGGAAGCACCCTTTGGGGAGCGTCATGGGCAGCAGTGCTACTGGATGACTCAGTGGGGCGGGGGCTTTTTTGGGTTCAAATGGTTGGGAGGCAATGGGCAGGGATTCAGAGCGGCAGAGAGCTATTGGAAGCTCCGGGTGGATGGCAGCCCCACTTTGTAGAGAGCTGCCAGGGGTTAGGGAAACAGTGGTGAAAAAAGGGGCAGGGGGTGCAAGGCAAAGGAAAGCCAGTGGAGGGCAGGGCTGTCCCATGCCAAGCCCCTGCGTCCACGGGTTCCGAGGGGCTTGTGCCGCAAGTGCCTCATTAGCTGAACTAAAGCGTGGAGCCGGCTTTTACCTCCCCGTGGAGCCGGCCCCTTCCGGGCGCATCCTGGAGCGGGTGCTTGGCGGATCATGTTCCCCAGCCCAGGTACTGAAGGGCTTCCTAGAAGGCTCTCTTTGTCTCCACATCACTGACTGTCGCACTGCACCCTTACTCTCCCTCCACACCTCTGCTTGCTCCACGTCTCCCAGTCCAAGCTCTCCTCCTAGAGGAGCCCTTGGCCCCTCATCTACCCACAGCTCCTTCCTTGACCCCTGACCTTCCGTGCCCCACACCTGCCATCTGCCCCTGCTTGCCCACAGCACATGCTGCCGCTCCTCTGCAGGGACTTAAACCTGAAAAACATTCTCCTGGACAGTGAGGACAACATGAAGGTCTCCATCTCCAGATTTTTCCAGAAGGGTGGTCCTGCAGGATGTCAGTGGAGAGTCTCTTGGGACCTCTGCACATCCAAAGCTGCCCACTGAGGCAGTGCTGAGCCAGACCTTCTGCCAATCCTATGCTTATGCCTGTCCTGTGATCCTGCAGGAGAAGCCCTGTGACCTCTTCCTGGAAAACACATGGAGTGCTGAAGTCATCCTCTGCACCTTGCTCCAGGACTACATATGTTGTGATGCCACCAACGTGTGGCACGTCCTGCACCAGACCCAGACGTCTCCTGTCTTCCCTCAAAGGTAGTCCTTGCCGCAGACTGGGGCAAGTGGTAAGAGGGCTGGGAGCAGCTGGGGCGGGAGACATTGGAGAGGCATTGGGGAGCATTGAGGGCATTGGGAGAGGGAGAGCAAAAGATGGAGGTCAGGGGAATGGGCTTTTGGGGGGCACCTAGGAAGCGTCAAGGGGGAGCTAGGGCCATAGAGAGCTTTGAGGGCCATGGGGAGGGGGTCAGAGGGCATTGGGAGGTTGTCTGGGGAGAGCTGGAGGGCACTGCAGGAGTTGTGGGCGCATTAGAGGAGCTAGGGGAGATTGAGGGCAGCTGGGGCACCAGGAGCCAGGGCCATTAGGGTGGGAGTGTGTAGGGGTCTCCCAGATGATGGGTTTCCCCCAGGGCCCACCTTGCTCCCTGTGTCCTCCCCCACCAGCACCTCTCAGCTGCTGAGCTGCTCCAGATCCACTGGGTCTCTTGGTTCCCACTCCCAGAGCACCTGCCTTTGGGCACCTAGGCTGCCAAGCGACCATTTTGGTTTTGGAAGGGATTTTACCAGAAAGCCCTTTTGCAGTTTTGAGGCCCACTCAACTTCAGGGGGCTGCTAATAAAAGCCTTGAACCTTCTCTTGGCTCCTGTTGTCCTGGCAACCCTGCCACAGAAAGCCCCTGCAAGAGACCTCGCCAAATCCATGGTGGCATCACCCTCCAGCCCACAAAGGAGCCTCCCCATCTGGGGACATCTCTCCATTCAAAACTTCTCTGTGACTGCAGGAGCTGCCAGGCCCCAGGAATCTGGAGGTTCCTACCAGAAGCAGAACCACCCCCAGGCCTCTCAGGAGTGTTTCTCCAGTCCCTTCATCATCTTTGCAGTCTTTTGCAGCACTTGCTCCAGTACGTCCACATCTCTCCTTTGCTGGGCAGCCCAGACCTGGACAAGGCACTCTGGGAGTGACCTTGCCAGGGGGGAGGAGAGGGGAAGGATCACCTCCATCCAACTACTGACAACACTCCCGCTAATGTAGCCAGGAGGCTCGTGGCCTTGGGTATCCCAAGGGTGTACTGATGCCTCATGTCCAACTTGGTGTTCAACGGGAGGCCTTCAGGGCCTTCTTCCAGTTGGTCAGTCAGACTTCTGCATGTACTGTACCAGATTGTTTCAGCATTATCTCCACTTCATAAAGCCAAACTACTACTCCTGGTGGCTGTCTTATCCTCCTTGTGTCTGGAATGGTTTCCAGGATTACTTGCTCACCTTCTCAAGGATAAAGGTGAGGATGGCTGGCCTGTATTCTCCTGCTTGCCCTTCTTGAAGGTGGCAGCAACACCGGCTTTTTACCAGTCCTCAAGAACCTCTCTGCATCACCATGGCTGTATTTACACATGTGATGGGCAGTGGTCTTGGAAGGACTTGAGCCATCTTCTTCTGCACTGCAGGGGCATTGCATCTGCTCCCAGGAACTTGTGTCTGTCCTATTTGCTTAAGTGTTCCTCAAACCAGTCTCTTTTCTGAGTGGAACTCTTCCTCACCCCAGGCACTCCTTCTGGCCTCAAGGAGCTGTGATTCCTGAAGGCAATAAAGGCCAAAAAGTTTTGAGGCCATGGCTGGCCAGCTGCCATACCTCCAGCATGTACTGGTGGCTGAGGTTTACCTTCCCCATGAGCAGGACTTTGCATGTCCCTTTGTTTAACTTCATGAGACTCATTTCTCCAGCCTGGGCAGTCACCTCTGAATAGCAACACAACCCTCTTGTCTATCAGTTGCTCCTCCCAGTTTCTGATCATCTGCAAACTCACTGAGCGTGCACTCTGACCCATCATTCAGGTCCTTAATGAAGAGTAGTGATCCACGGAGCAAGTTGCCCAGAAAAACTGTGGGTGCTCCATCATTGGAAGTGTTCCAAGTCAGTCTGGACAAGGCTTAGAGCAACCAGATCAAGTGAAAGATGTTCCATGGCAGAGCAGTCAGACTAGATGATCTTTAAGTCCTTGCCAACCCAAACCACTCCAGGATGCTGTGATTCTGCATGGACTCTTGAAATCCTGGAGATAAGCCACCAGACCTGCAGCATCTGGAGGAATTTCACAGAAAACTCACATGAGCACAAAAGGATTTGAATGACATACCTCTATCCCATGACTGCTCATCACTGACCACTTCCACAGGTAGGAAAGACAGTCAGCATGGAGAAAACTGTGGAGAGACACCTTTTGGCCACCTTCAGACACACTGGTGAAGAATCACCCAAGCAGTCAGGTGAGTAGAAATGCTTCCCAGATGCTTTACTTCTAACTGACAGTGCTGTAGTCTAAAAACCTCATTTCAATATTGGACTTTCAGAAACTGGCTTAGGTACAGTGAAGGGTGAATCAGGAGAGTGGTAGAAGCACCCTAACTTTGCTTGGCTCAGGCCCTGCATGGCAGACTGGAGGACAGCCACAGACTGAGTCTCTGTCCAGCTCTGCCGGCTTCAGTCAGCTCTGTTTACTGTCAACTAGGAAAATCAGCAGGTAGCAGACACAGGGTTGTGATGACTTGGGAACACCAACAAGTGACAACTCCTTGAGCCACTAGGAACATTACATGACAGACCCTTCCAAAGCTGGCTCTACCCTCAGTAGTGTGGATTCTCCTGCCTTCAGGAAGGATGCCTCCAGCATGGAAGGATGGCTCCACAGACCCCTCCATCTGAACTCTCCTCTATATTGTCTAAGAAGGGGACAATTGGGTAAGCAGATGAAGAAGCCCATGGTATTGAGGAACAGAAAGCTGTCCTCCTAGCAGGCCTCTCTGCACTTCCAGAGGCTGCCTTTCTCAGCAGGCTGCAGTATCTGCTCTGCTTCGATTTACCTCTCCTTGGCTTTTGTCACCCTTTCAAGTACCATCTCAAGGGAGGTGGCTCTGCCCCTTTTTTGACTTCTCTGCTGCTTTCAATGTTCTTGTGCTCTCCAGAGACTTCTGTCACAGTAGTTTCCTAGCCAGTACTTTCTCCTGGCCTTTCAGGCTTCCTTCAGTGTCTCCTGCTCTGGATTCTGTCCTTTTTGGAGGCTTGTTTGAGCTCAACCACAGCCAAAAACATCTCTTGTTCCTTCTCTTGATAATGTTACTGAGGATCAGTAACAGCAGTGCAGTCCAGCAGGCTGCGTCCTTGCCCCATGGTCTGTTTCCAGACCTCTTTCAGACCATTCCACACATTCCTTGCCCACAGTAATAGTTTCTATTACTGCTCTATTGTAATCTTTGTTCATGCCTTGAGCTAAGAAATCTCAAATTCTTTCCCAATCTTTACTCTGTCTGGATTTTCCTGTTGTTCCTATACATACTTTGTAGAACTATATGGAGTTATTGGCTGCTAAGAAATCCTGTGGCAGCACATTCCCCCAGCTGTTTTTTTGTTCCCCCACTTGTTCAGATGCCATATTTGGTGACCACAGATGGGAGAATTTCACCCTGGTTTGCCCATAACAGCAGCAGAAGTAAGGTTTGTAGCAGACTCTTGCCTCAACAATCTCTCAAGTCCTCCAGAATGCAACCATGGCATTTGGGGTTAATTTGGAATTCAGAATGGATGTTGTACATTGATTTCTGTGTGTGGGTTAATTTCTGAGGCCCACTCACAGAAAGGCCCACTTTTCTCTTTCAGTAGATAAGAAGGGCAAGTACTGATTCCAAATGGGAGAACCTCATCATGTTGGTGGGATGACTCACACAACTGGAGTGCTGCAATGAATGTCTATAAACCCTTCAGAAGGGATAAACAAGGAAGGAGAAGGGATGAAGCAGAAGTCTGATGAGAAGCGGCTGAAGGAGCTGGAGGTGTTTAGCCTGGAGAAAAGGAGGCTCTCTACAGATATCTAAGAGGAGGTCGTAGAGAGGTGAGGGTTGGTCTCTTCTCTCAGGTAACAAGCAATTGGACAAGAGGAAAGAGCCTGAAGTGCCATTGTGCCAGAGGAGGTTTAGATTAGGAAAAATTCTTCACTGGAAGAGAGGTCAGGCATTGGAACAGGCTGCCCAGGAAAAGTGGTGGAGTCACCATCCTGGAGTGTTCAAAGAATGTCTAAATGTGGCACTTGGGTTTAGTGGTGAATATAGCAGCACTAGGCTAACAGTTGGACTCAATGATCTTGGGGGTCTTTTCCAACCCTAATGATTGTATGATTCTACAGTTCAACATCCTATAAATTACATACCAGCAGCACAGAGGACACTACACTAAAAAAAAAAAAAAAAAAAGAATTAAAAAAAGTGGTGATTCCTGAATCTTATAAATTTGATATTATGGGAGAGCCCAAACAAGCACCTGTTTATACACCTACATAGTTAAGGAAGGGAAATGTTTAGATATGCTGAGAATAGCTTAAGGCCTCCACAAGAAAATACTTGATTGACTACTTTCTAGCACAGAGAAAAAGCCAACTGGTATTAAGGCTCATGCCTTAGTTGTCCTCAGTAATAAACTTCACTTGGAGGCATCTGAGAGGATTTATGGTACTTGAGTATCCCCCTGTATCAAAGCCTGTGGAGCAGCTTCCTCACAGGACTACACTGACACTCCCAAGCAGCCCCACACAGCTTTTGCAGAGCCTGCTTTTGGAGAGACCACCACTTATTACATGTTGTCACCAGGCAAAGCTCCTAACAAATCCCCAGTTGCAGAATTTGGTCTTCCCAATGAGACGCAGAAAACAGAAGAAAATCAGAGGGACAAGAACACTCTCCTTTGCTGTTCAAAGCATGCAACAGTACAACCAGTCCTTCCAAAAGCCTGGCTGAAAATTTTAGCAACTGTGATCTGGTCAAGAGAAAATCTCTAGAAGAGGCTTCTAGAAACAGGACAAAGCACATATCAGCTCATTACGCAGTACTTTTTGCTAGCTATCCATAACCATTGAGATAGCTGAGGCTGGTATTTTAACAATTGCCTCCTCTTTTTTGGTTTAGTGCCTTTTCTTTGCTCCTGGGATTAATTAATTCAAGTGTTTCTCTGGAATCTCAGTGTTTCATCAGGTACAGGATCACTCAGCAACAAGTCAGGGAAAATGGATGCAAGACAGGTGAGATCACTTGTCCAAAGAGCCATTTTCCAAAAACTGCTTCATTATTTCACTTCACAGGAATACAGAAGGTATCCAAGGGGCCAACTCAGCAGCAGCAGTGGGACACAGAACACATGAGCATGGCTGTTTTCTGCAGAGCGCTGCTGTCCTATTTCTAACCCCAAAGAAAGAGATAGCTCAGTCACCAGCTAGTGCTGATACTGGAAGCGATGTTTTATTTTCATTTGCCACGACTGGTTTTGAGTGATTTTTTACAAGAGTGAGTAGTGCTAGGACAAGGGTAAATGGCTTTAAACCGAAAGAGGGCAGGTTGCCCAGGGCAGCTGTGGTTGCCCCATTCCTGGAAGTGTTCAAGGCCAGACTGGATGGGGCTTTGAGTAACCTGGTCTAGTGGAAGGTGTCCCTGCCCATGGCAGCAGAGTTGGAACTGAACGATCTTTAAGGTCCCTTGCAACCCAAACCATTCTGTGATTCTACAAATGCAGGATCCCCACACTGTCCATGAAAATTGGATTTGTTACCTGGTGTGCAACAAGCACATAATTACACGCTTGA